GAACCCAGGCCTGCAAAGCACCCAGGTTCAGAATCAGCCACATGGAAGTTTATGTGCTTCTAAAAACTGAAACAGTTCTCCATTTATCTGAGGCCAAGGGCTGGCTGATTTTAATGATGTTGCTAGTGTCAAGGGGTCTTTCAGGGATAACATTGAAAGTGCAGCAAGATGGTGAAGCTGATGCAATGGGGGGAAAATAGCTTCTCCTTGAATTCTGCCTAATACATCTGTCTCTTCTGAACTGGCTGAGCTCTGTTGATATGAACAATTCAATTATTTAAGTATGAATTTGGTTATAAAACAGCAGTGAAGGATTTCTGTGCCAAGCCAAGTGGTAAGCCACTAAACTCAACCACTTCTTCCAGCAGTACCAGTGTGGGATAGGCAGTACAGAGAGAAGGTATCTACTAATCCTCTCATCTGCCCTCAGTGGTGCCCTGTCTCTTGGCCCCAAGACAGGCATGGAGCCAAGATTCCTCCTGCTTCTGCTCTTCTATTTTTCAGGTAAGAGAAGGGGTGAGGCAGTATAAGAGTCAAGGGAAGCTCAGGTACAGTGTTTCTCTTTCATTTGTCTAAGGTCCTATATAATGTGTGATATTCAAGTATTAGGAAAGGAATTTTTTGAAAGTTTCTACCACCACAGCAAGTTTCTTTTCAGATTGAGAAATTCTCTGCACTGCTACAAAACAAGATGGGCCAGCTCCAGTTCCTATTACCTGGAGATTCTGGCTTCTCCAGGACTATAAGCCAAGTCACTCTGGGCACAGTCTCCCCTTCCAAAACAGGTATAAATGTGTCATGCAAACACATCCCCTGGCACTGCCTGGCCCAGCTCCACCACTCCCTGAAAGGACCATGTTGTCACTAGCTCAGGGGACAACCGTCCTGGCAGTGATTCCTTCTCTGCATGTGCAATATTTAGTAGAAATCAGTTACTTAAGGACAGGCTAAGTCTGTGTGAATCAAGATAGGAAGGCCTTAAAGCATTTGTTTCATGGCTGTTAAATGCCTCTTAGGAGTTGATTATTAAGATGCAGAACCTAGGGTACTGAGACACACCAGACTCATTGCACAGAGCACTGCACCTTTGATGCAGCACAAAAAGCAACTCTGAAGGGAAGGATCCCTCTGAAAGCCTCTGTCAAGGAAAACGTGAGTCTTTGGGAGGCAGCAAGGAAGCAAATGTACATAAAAGAGTTGCTAATAATTTTGGAACTGGGATCATCCAAATTACAGCAGTGTAATACTATTTCAGCAGCCCCCAGGAATGACTCACAGAGATTTACTATCACACAGAACTGACAGTCTTCTATTTCCTTACCAAACCTTTTATATCCTCAGTCTTTTGAAGCCTCCACAGAACCAGCTCAGGCCTGTTAACTATTCCATAGAGGGAATATAATTCCACATATATTTGTCCTCACTGTATCTCTCAGCAGAAAGCTTGAATAGGTATGAAAAGATCTGTCCCTGAGAACAGTACTAAGCTGCTACCAAAGCTGGAGAATCTCCTCATCTTTTGACGGCCACAGTTTCCTGCCTGATCCCTCCCTTTCTCTTGAATACACACACTGAACGCACCAGCCATCACAAGAGCTTGTTCAGAACTACAGTGGAGCTGGCACTGAGCCACACAGCATAATTTCTTTGGGGTTTTTTTAATGGACTGTTTCCGACTCATGCTCAAGCAGGACAGACTAAAACCAAGGAATCCTCCAACATTACAACATAAAGAACAGTTTCTATACCAGGTCTTCACAGACAGTCAGGAATCTTTAGTTGAAGAAAACTATAGTGCAAATTTGTGATTTTTAACCTCAAACCATATTTGCTTTCTGTGAAAGATCATAGTTTTTACTTAAAGTAAATTCATGTTATCCTTTACAATACAGTGAAAAAATAATTTGTAGTAAGGAAAAGATCCCATTTTCCTATTAGCAATGCAAAGAAGTGCTGAGATACAACATCACTTATCTTCTCTTTTACTGGAGAGAAATAAATACTGGAAATTCTGAAAATAGGGCTAGAAGTCTATTCTCCCTGTATGGCACATCACAGCCTCTTGAACAGGGAAATGTTCCTAAGCCAGCACTGAAACAACAGCATTCCCTCTGCCAGCCTGGAGCTTTATCCGCTCACACAACTCGTGACACTGCATGAGGCATGGACAGACCCACGCCATAAGAAACGCTGCAGAACTGGCTTCTGCAGATGCTCTGCTGCCTGCTCTCTTACAGTCCTCTTCCCTACCCTTGTTCTGTCTTATTTGCTGCAAGGTTCATACTGATAAACAGGCAGACAAGCACAAAAATGACTATAAATCTATGCATATGATAAATAACCATGAAACCTGGGGGAAACATTTGAATGTTCCCCAGCCTCCCCTTCTCCCTTACCTTTTGTTACCTTATTGCTAGCTCACATGCTCCTCAGACCAAGAATTCAAAACAAAATGCTATTAAAATTTGCTACATTAGTCTCCTTTTTCTCCACTTCTGTGGAAAAAAAGGACAAGTTATTTTAAAGCTTACCTCAATTTTATGTTCTTTCAAACATTTTTGCAAGAGACTTGTCTGCCTTTTTTTCCCCCAAAAACCACAACCTGAGATAAGGCAGCCTGAGAATTTACTCAGCAACTCCTAGCTTGCTAGATTCTTCCACAGTCTGAAAAAAAGAGTGACTTCCTCTACCAGAGGTTTTATACTAACTAGTTGATAATGGGCTGAGGCTGCTCAGCTGTGAACACTGATGAGTTTCTCCCAGCACTGCTGTGATCATGGTAACAGGAGAGATGGAGCCCTTATATCTTGAAATTGCTACTACACCTAAATCCAGTGGTTGCTTTCTGTCAGAACTGGGGACACTGTGGGAAAATAAGTTGTTATGAGAGAGCAGGGGTTGTGTGAGGTACACAGGGCTGGGGTCCCAGCTGAGGCCAGGGTCTGGGTTTCACCTGTGAGGACTTTAGCCCACAGTGGATATGTCATTCATGAAAGATGTGTCATCATGGCTCTTAGCTGGGATTTACGCTGTGGTTCTTATGTTCTGCAGTGGTCCAATATCACTCTGATATGGAGCTGAAGAGTCTTTCTGTTGTATGTCCCTATAATGTCCAGAACTACAATGCTACAAGGAAAGCCCAGTGCTGAAGGAAAGATGTGATCTCTTGCTCTGCATGGATTACCACCTATCAGCATGTCAAAACAAGGTTCATTCTGAGAGCAGCAGTATCCTTGATGACACCCAGAAGGAGACAGTTGCTGACACAATGCAGAAACTGAAAGTTGAAGACCTAGGAGTATATTGCTGTGCACACTGTACATGTTCTCATTTTTCCCAAATAATTGAGATTAAGTTCTCTGTTTCCAACAGTGAGTATTTCTTTTTAAGGAAAATGAGGGGCATTTTGTAGATTTCTGCCTCATTTTATCTTCTTAACTTTTCAGTGTTTTGCATTACCCTCTCGCAGGTTACTGAGGAATAGCCATAGCAGGTCAGAACAAAGGGCTCCAATACTGGTTGAAGCAGATAATTAGGAAGGAGTATAAAAACAGAGAAGCACATAGAAACAGCTCTCCAGAATACTCTCCCAGCCTCCAGTGATTTTCTGGAGAGGATATTTTTGTTATAAGAGCAATGGCTCCATTCTTTTTTCTCTTTAATTTATCTGCTTGTTCTGCTGATACATAAAAACTTCTAGTATATGAACAACCTGTGGCAGTGAACTCCGCACTCAACGCATGTGTGGAGAATTTCCTTTTCTCCTAACTAGTGACTTCCTTAGATACAGAATTATTGCTCCTGTTCTCTTTCTCCCTGCTATTCCTGATTTTATAGACTTTTGCAATATTACCCCTGTCATTTCCTTTCCAAGCAAAAAGTTGTTTTAGTAATTTCTTGTGCACAAGGTGCTTCAGATCTTTCTCTGTTTTGCCTGGTTTTCTCTGATCACCAACTTGGCTGACAAATTCAGAGCAGTCTCCTGATGTTTCTGTTACAAGAAGCTTTGCTTTGTTTGGGGATAATATGATTATATTATTCTAAACTTGCTTCAGAAGGACAGAATATTTTGGATGCTTTATTTAGCATCCCAGTTCAATTCAAGTCTCCTGTAGGTAAAATGCCTGTGAACTGGATTACAGTATTGTGCTTATTCTAATTGCAGGAGGCTGATGTAATTGGACAGTTTGTCTGGACCTTACCAACCAGTTTGACATTTTCCAGAAACCCAAGGATATGTAGTGAGGGAGATGCAGTCTCTCTGCTGAGTGCCCATACAACATGCAAGATTACAAGGCTGTGTGGAAAAGCCTGGTGCAAGACAGTCGGGAAAGAGTGTGCTGTCTCGGTCAATACAGAAAAGACAAGCAGTCAGTGTGAGAATAACACTCAGAAAGGAAGATACACCATGAATGAAGACACCCAGGAGGGAGTTCTTAGCATCACCGTGGAGAAGCTCACAGTACTGGTGGACTGGGGGACTACTGGTGTGCTCTTTATGATGACTCTCACCTCTTTCAAATACAGGAAATTAAGCTGGCTGTTTTTGTAGGTGAGTGTCTCTTTTTTTTTTTTTTTTTTTTTTTTTTTAATTAGAGAAACTCCTTACTCCTCATTTTCCTTGCAGAGGAATTCATTTCCCAGGATTGCTGCCCCTCCTGCTCTACCTGTTCTCTGCCACTCATTCAGTCATGCCTGTGGAGACATTACTGTATAATGTGCAAAAACCAAATGGTTCTGGTTTGGTTTCTCCATCTGGGCACTCTGGGGGTAGGCACCCCAAGGGGTCTGTGCATGGCAGAGAGCACAACGACCAGGCGAGAGCAGCAAAGGGCCTTTGCCATCAGGACGGGCTGAGCTCTACTCACAACTACTTCCCCAAATGCACTCTGAAATTATCTTAATATCAGTTTTGTTGCAAAACACAGTGAAGGATTTCCGTGGGAAAGCACTGCCTTCAGCAGCGTCACTGTGATGTGGGAGGGCTCACAAGGCAGACACTTTTGAACGGGACACGTTTGGGCAGCCCCCAGCAATGCCCCTTCCCTGGGCTTGAGGACAGCCATGGAGCTGGGAGTCCTCCTCCTGCTGCCGCTCTGCTTCCCAGGTAAGAGAAGGGCTGGGCATGCCTCAGGCTTCCCGTGCACCCGGGGCAGTGGAACATCCTTCCCCACCTCCTGCTGCCTGTGGAGCTCCACAGTGAGAGGGAATCCAACGCCAGCAGGACTGAGCTGGGCAACTCGTGGCAGAGGTGGGGAGGAAAGGGGTAGCCCCAATTCCCACCACCACACACCTGGCTCCTCCAGGTTCCCAGGACAAACCACCCTGGGAGCACAGAGCTGCGGCCTCCCCTAGTTGGGATTTCCCATCACACTGCCTGGCCCTGCTCAGCTCCTCTAATTGCAGCTGTGGGTCAGGACAGAGCTGTCGGGGGGCACCTGCCTGCCTCCCCTGCCATCCCAACAGAAAGCACAAAGCTTTCAGCATGGGGTAGGTTGGGGAATCAAGGTAGCCCTGCACCTAGCACAGCGTTGCACCCAGGAGTCGCTGGGCATCCTCCGAGGATGTGGCACGGAGGGGCTGTAGGCTGTTGGGGACAAGCTCAGGCTCGGCCATGGATCGAGCATTTCATCCCCAGCACATACACTGGCCCGGCTCCTCAGGGCCACTGTGTAGGGAGGGGTTGGTCTCCATTTTGCCTGCAACCAGGAGCAGTAACAACGGGACGGGACTGCTGCAGCAGCTCCAAGCACTGCACTATGCACAACTTCATTTAGACTTGAAGGTCCAACTCCTCTAGCACCCGCATGTCTGTGGGTTTTAAATCAAAGATACTGGATTTTAAATTGCAGATGCGATCCCAGCTCAAATCTCAACACTGCCCACCAGAAATCAACCTTCCTGTTTCCAAATAGGTGAATTTAGCAGGGGGAATGGATCTTGATTTTCAGAGTTTCTCCAGCCACAAGTGCCCATGTGGGAAGGTCGGAGGCAGAGTTTGTCTGTGTTCACTGGGAGGCTGTGGGCAGCCCTGCATCAGCTCCCCTCTCCCTCTCCACATCTATTTACAGGTTTTCAAGCTCAAACATCTGATTCTGAGGAGAGACTATCAGAAGGAAGCACTCTGCATGTCCAGTGTCCTTACACTGCAGGGGTTACCTACCAGCAGCAGAAAGTCTGGTGCCGTGTGAGCAATAACAAATATGAGCCTTTAGTGGAGACGAGCAGGCCAACAGAATACTCATACAGAAACCAGGCCACAAATGGGAAAGTTACAATAGAGGATGACAGCATGCGTAAGACTGTGTCCATCACCATGACTAACCTCCAGGCAGAGGACTCAGGCACATACGTCTGTGCTTTCTTGTACTACTCCAGTTACAGCTATTATCTACTAAAGATGATTTCACTGAGTGTTTTCAAGGGTGAGTACCTTGGGTTACCAAGGGTAAGGGAGGCTGGGAGGCACATGCCCACCGCTTGCAGGTCAGTGACCACATTTGCTATTTTGCAGAGCTGCATAAGTCGGAGTTGGAGACTGTCTCTGTGCAGTGCAAATACAGCGCCTTGGTACACAGCACAGATGTAAAATTCTGGTGTCAAGAAGGTCAGACTGGCTGTAAAGTCCTGGTGAGGACGGATTACCCTTCAGCACAGGGTAACAGCAAAGCTCTGGAACACAGAACAGTGATCCAGGATGACACCCAGAGAAGGACTGTCACCATCACCATGCAGAAGCTTCAGGCCCAGGACACCGGTGTGTACTGGTGTGCATTCTACCGTGGCGCTCATACCATCCAGATAATGGAGGCCAGGGTCTCTGTGTTCAAGAGTGAGTACCTACTGGCAGCCAAGTGTGGATGTCAGCAGACTTCAGCCCCACCTTCCCTGCTTATTCTCCCTCCCATCCTGTGCCATGCCACTGAGGAGCCCAGAGCTGCCACCGTGCAGCTGCCACCCACCTCTCCCTGTCTGTGTCCCCCTGGGCAGACACGCCAGTGGCTGCCCAAGAGGCCTTTGGAGCCAAAGCTCAGGCCTGGCCCTTCATGCTCTGTCTGCTCCCATCAGAGACTCAGGGGAGGTTCCCATGAGCTCCCACAAACGGAGCCGCCGCTCTTCACAACTGCTTCCACAGGGCTGGTCTCAGGGCCTCCAGGAGCATCTTCCCCAGCTCAGCACTTGGCTCACTCATGCTGGACGCTGCTGTAGACCTCCCCCACTGCCAGGGATTGTTTTTCCTCTGGCCCCACAACTGCCAGCCCTCCCTGGTCCTTGCCTCCCAGACCCTATGGGCTGAACACATGTGGTCCCTGGGGGAACCAGCGGAAGGGGACAGGACCCATCCAATTTGTGACTCATCTCTGCACAAGTAATCTGGGTCCAGCCCCCTTCCGCTCCTCATGTCTGGAGGTAGAAGGAGATCCAGCCTACAGCATGCATTCCAGTGATGGGGAAGGGGTGCCACTGTGCCTGCTTTTGGATCTCACCAAATGTGCCGGGTGTTTTCCAGGGACCCAACAACACACAGCCAAGAAGTCAGGCAATTTCTCTGTCCAGTGTTCATACAATGCCCTAGAGTATGGGGCTGCGAGAAAAGCCTGGTGCAAAGAGGTTGCTGAGAAACCATGTACCATACTGATCACCACAGATTTGAAGCCCTCAGGATACCCCAGGACATTTCAGCAAGGCAGACTCACAATCCAGGATGACACCCAGAAGGGAGTTGTCACTATCACCATACGTGAGCTGCAGGCACAGGACTCCGGAGTGTATTTGTGTGCGCTTTATGAACATGGTTATATTTTCCGAATGGAGGAGGTGACGCTCAATATTTCTGACAGTGAGTACTGACCTGCAGAGAAATGTGGTTGGTTGTAGATTCCAGACTCACTTTCCTACTCTCTCCCTCTAGTCTCTGCACTGCCCAATTTACACCACTTCCCGCACTACAACTGGTTGCATTTCCTTGCCCAAACCCCACATCATTGTACCTTCTCACACTAACCATGCTATGGAACAGCAGCAGGGATCAGAATTGAACCACACTTGTGTGCTGTGGTACTTCTCTTTTACCTGAGAGCAGCTTCAGTCATTTTCACAGAAGTGTTTCTGTCACTCATGATAGCAGTCCTGCCTCTTTATAGCAACTCAACCCTTGGCTTTCATAGACTATTAAGAGCTTCACATTTGGTTGCCAAGGGGACAACCTTCAGACCCATATTTTAAAGATTTGTGATTTTGAGGTTTTACTTCAGCATGATGTTTCAGCAATCTGTGATAACACTTAAGCACCTGATTGTGGCAGATCATTACCGTGGTGCAGCCCGTCTTTCAGGAATGTGGCAAAGCAGCACTGAAGGGATATGGCAATCCAGAAGATAAGGAGGAAACTCCTAACACATGCGACTGAATGCAGTCTCTAAGTGAGCAGGCTCCTGCACGCACAAACTCCCCTGGGCACAGAAACAGTCCTGGAAGCAATTCTTGCAGCCGAGTCTTTCATGGACAATGCTCTTTGCTTAGTTTTCAGCAAGCCTCTGTCTGCTTAAGCACGGAGTCATTAAATACTTCATTGCTACCTAAAGATCTTTGCCGCAGAACATATCTGTTTGCACTTATAGCACTTCCTTCTGCCATGCACTGGGGTGGGTACACACAGAGCAGGGTTGCTGCTGCGCTCCTTGTCCCCCCTCCCTCCTATATTTTGATCCTTACGTTGCTTTGCCTGCTGCCAGCAACTCTTGATGACACAAGCTACAGCCCGAGCAGCTTGTCTGTGCTGGGTGTCACAGCGGGAGTAGATTTACATCCATGGTAGCAATGGCAGGGAAGTTGATAAATGCAAAGCAGCCCAGTAGTGATTATTCTTCTCTTCATGTTTGTGATTGCAGAGTCGGCTGGAACAACTTTGTCAGGTACTGCAGGCACAAGTCAAGCAACGCCTTCTGGCGACGACCCAAAACTGAGGTAAAGCCTAAAAAAAGTCTCTGAGCTTGAACACAGAGATGAGTTATTAATGTCTCATCCACAATACACCTGTCTTTCTGGGGTAAGCAGTCTCTGGGCATTCTGAAGACTTCTGCTTACAGAGAAATTAGATAACAGGCATCCTTACCAAAGATGGCCTCTCCTCTTCCAGCTCCTGCTCAGAGTGTAATTATAAAGGAAGAAGCAGATTGGTAAAATCAAGTCACAGCTTTCTGGAATGTAGATGCCTATCTACTTTTTTATCCTTATCTATTTGGGCTGTGCTCTTTGCAGCAATAGAAACACCCAGATTCTGCCCCTAAGCCTTTCTGTCTCGACTTTGCTCATTCCTGTCCATGAATATTTAACAACAAAATAGTCCTTGGCTGCTATTTTATCCTTCTATTTACCAGGCTGTTAAATGTAAAGGATTTTCTTCACGTTGTAGTTTAACCCTAGCCAGCAACCAAGCCCCACACAGCCGCTCACTCACTCCCCTTGCAGTGGGATGGGGGAGAGAATTGGAAGACTGAAAGTGAGAAAACTCATGGGTTGAGATAAAGACAGTTTAGTAGGTAAAGCAAAAGCCACATGCACAAGCAAAGCAAAAGAAGGAATTCATTCACCACTTCCCATCGGCAGGCAGGTGTTCAGCCATCTCCAGGAAAGCCTGGCTTCATCGTGCCCTACAGTTACTTGGGAAGACAAACACCGTAACTCCAAATGTCCCACCTTTTCCTTCCTCTTCCCCCAGCTGTATATGCTGAGCATGATGCCATATGGTCTGCAATATCCCTGGGGTAATTTGGAGTCACCTGTCCCAGCTGTGTCCCCTCCCAACTCCCTGTGCCCCCCAGCCTGTTTACTGGTGCAGTGGGGTGAGAGGCAGAAAAGGCTTTGAGGCTGTGTAAGCACTACTCAGCAATAACTAAAACATCTCTGTATTATCAATACTGTTTTCAGCACAAATCCAAACCACAGCCTCATACTAGCTATTATGAAGAAAATCAACTCTATCCCAGCCAAAACCAACACACTTCACCTTTGGACATCTTCTGTCATCAACACTACAGCAGCACCTAAGAGTAACAATCATACATCAGTTCCAATGTGCTAGGTGCAGCAAAACACAGGCAGAAAAGGCAGTACCTGCTCTAGAGAGCCTGGAATTGAGCTCTGAACTTTGAAGAGTGGCTTGTTTTGAAAGCCTGGAAAGTAGTTTAGGAAAAGCTCAGAAGGCACAGCCAGGCAGGAAAATTATTGCTGCAGGAGAACCAGACTCTCCTGCCAAGTGCATAAAAGCTACTCCTGTCCCTTTTTTTGGTCACTGTTTGGTAATTGGCTGTGCCAGCATCATGGTGTGCTACCATATAAAACTGGTAACTCCTTTGCTCTCTTGACTTCAGCTCAAATGCAAACTTCTTCATCCTACTCTATGGGGTCCTGAGCATCCTGCTCATCCTGGCACTCATCAGCTTGATAACACTGTGCATCAGGCAGCACAAGCAGCTGAAGAGAAAAGGTATGTGGAGACTGGTGATGCCTCACGTTCTAGTCTGTACTAAACAGGGCTTTCTCTGACCGTCCCTTTTTCACTCCAGGAGAGCTTATTCCCAACTCACAGTGTCCTGGAGAAGATAAGGCAGGTGCAGCCCGGGAAGCCTCAAGGCAGGCTCTTTGCTGTGCTCTCCTCTCGCAATAAGTCAAACCCATGTTCCTCAAGACTGCACAGGACACCTCCTAACATGTTAGAGGAGAAGTAAATTGAGAGCAATGTGTTCACCAGATTCAGGGTAGATGGGTCCCACTGGCACACCCATTGCTTCTATCATTGGGCAATCCCACAGCCTTCCCCAAAACTCCTGAAGCATAGGCAATGCCCAGGCATTTCATGGACTTCTCTACTTCTAAAACCTCTGATTTTGGTTCATTCCAAAGGTAACGGACAAGCAGATCACATTTATGAGAAACCAGAGGACACAGCACAGGTAAGGAAAATGATAGATTTCCCATATGGTACTGAATCCCTTACCAACAGGCTGTGAGGAGCTGTCTGACCCACCTGATGAGGACGTTGGTGCTCATTTTTTGTTGTGCATGGGAGGGGAAATGGTACGTAATGTCACTAGAGAGGGGAATGTTCCTAGCTGGAGAGGGGGGTTTGTGTAATTAATGTAAGGAAATTCCAGTAGGAATAAAGCACAGTGGAGCAAAATCTAGTGATCTGTGAAAAATGACTCAAAGACTAGAAACCAAGGTTAGATGATGAGGTTGCAACCAGTATGCAGGAGAGGTGATGAAGGAAAGAGTTTTCTTTTCTTTCACCTCTGTCATGACCAAAGGTAAATTTTCACATGGCTTTTCCTTTCCTCCTGGGAAAATCCTGTTCTTTTGATAACAGCTGTGGCCTGGCACTGAATCGTGTTAACAAGAGGTTTCTCTTTCTTTTCATAGCTTGACAGCACTGAAAGACTGGAAAGTCCCAAGGATGACAGCAAAGACCTAAAATATGTTACCCTGAACTTTAAATCCAAAATCATCCTTCAGGATCCTCTCTACTGTAATGTTGAACCAAGTCAAGCTCACATGAAACCCAAAGATGAAAATGTGGAATATGCTATCATTGCAGTCAAGCAGTAACCAATGCATGACAAAGGATGAAACACAGAATCCCAAAACAATCCAGAAATGGAAGAAAAGAACTGGAATACAAAGGGGGAATGAGGAGTAGAAGGTGTGTCGATGGACACTGGGGAAAGATCTAAGTTTTTGCTGCCATGTGTATGTTGCCTATGCATTTTAAGACCTCCTATTAGAGTCTAGTAGAGAATTTTGACACAAGTGTGCAGATTCTCTCAGGACAGAGAGGTGCTGGGTAATTCCGAGGATCCCTTGCACATCTTCTTTCTTCAATTACATTAAAATGCAGACACTTTGGAGAGGCAAGTGTGGAGGACTGACCTTTTGAAAAAGGATATTCATCTGGATATGGATGGGTTTGGTATTTCAACTATATTCACTGGTAGAAACTCTATCCTATTCCTAAGGGTTCAGCTACTATGGCCAAGGAAACTCATTCCAGTGCTGTAGGGATAAAACTCCAGCCTTGCTGTGTCTGGGTTCATTTGCCGTGAGCACTGGATTATAAGAATAAGCAGAAACAATAGCTTAAGGGTGTGTTGCAACATGATGATATGCTGCATTGCAAACTTTGCAAACTGGGGATTGTGCTGTCTGAATCTGAGCACCAGACAATCTTGTAGCTACAAAAGAACAGTGCATACATGTAATAGGTACACTTCTTGAGACCTAATGCAAATTCCCATATAACCTAAATTTATCGGTCTGCTAGGGTAAGAAGTAAGATGGTAAGAGGCTTTCAGACTAAAGCTAAATGTTGAGCTTTAGATCAAGAAATAGAGCGTGCATGCTGGAGTTTGGGGGTCAGAGGGAATGAAGTTGATGACAATACTGACTGCATGTACAAGTGTCCCTTTACAGAGTGCAGAGGGTTGTGGGATGGATTCGAGCATGGCTACTGTGGGTTACACTAGTGAGAGTCTCCAACACTGCACCTTCTAGGAAACTCAATTATTTCCAAGTTTGAGATTTGCTCTCTGGGTTATCCACAGCCACAGCATATTTATGCAGTCTTTGAGGCCTGTACATTAAAACCAGAATGAAGCAGCAGCTGAAATCTGAAGTTACAGGTATAGTGTCCCATGTGTAGCTTGTGCAGATGCCCCATCCTTTCACCACCTCCTAATCAAAGGCCCTTACTTTATTCAGCAACTTCTGGGTGGCCTGTTGCCTTACACCCTTTGTTCCAAGAACACGCAAACTGTCTGCTTACACCAAGGCAGTGTGGAATCAAGACAAGGAGGGAGAACAAAAATTAGTATTTCTGGAGAAAGAAAAGAAGGGAACAACATGTGGTATTGCACTAGAGGAGTGGACAGGGCACGGGGATGTTTTTGAACAGAATTTGCCTTGCTGTGCTAACTGCAAGGATGGTCCCCGAGACAGGCACGAGGAAGGTCTGTACACACTGTAGCGCTGAGCGAGAAGCTGGCAGGCTGCGCGAAGAAGTTGCAGGAAGTATGACACAGACAACAAAGGAAGAAGTATGAACATAAAAGGGCTGGTCTCAACATCGGGTATGTAATAGAAGGGACACAGTGGTAATTAAGAGTGGATTATTTACAGATGAAAATGTCCAAGTAAGTCAGACACACGATACATTTCTAGATCTCCAGTGCAGCTCTGATGTAGGCTGGCAATTTCCAAGAGCTGCCACAGGAACACTAGACTGGCTGGGATCTCATCAAACCCTACTATCCCAAATAACCACACCATAAACTATCAAGCATGTTTTTCCAAAGCATTTGGTCTCTCACCTTCGTTGTTATGAGGCACCTTTGCATCTCTGCAGGAATAGCTATGCAGCCAGTCTCAGATATAGCTCTGTTGTTTTGCAGCACTGTGCTGGACTTCAAACAGCTCTTCCCAGACTATTCACCAGTGCAGCTGGTTCTTGGTAAGTTTGCTGGAAGACCAATCCAAACCAGCATGCCTATTTCCAGCACTTTTTAATTTTTTGGCTATACCATAAAAAGCAAGCTTTTGTGGCTTCTTCTAAAGTCACAGGAGACCAGAAGTGTGTGTGCAGCTTCATGGGAGAGCTCACCAGGGCCTTGGAAAATGATACCATTACTTCCCTGTCTCTGCTGGAAATACTCCAGATGACACATTTGCTGCCTTTATTTAACAGTCATGTGGTGAACAATATGAAATGAGTTTGCTGGGGCTCAGCTCAATTTCTCCAAAAGACCAAAAACCCTGACACTTTATTTGGCTGCACTAAGATCTGCAGACAGGTGGCAAATTAAGGGAGCCTGAACAACTTCTTATTCCCAAGCCAGTCACATTCGATAGGCTTCTCTTGATATGGCTGCAGCAGGGAAGCTGATCTATTTTTTGAGATTTTCAGAGTTGACATGTTTAACTTGAAATGACAGAAGGAAATAGAAGATGGTTCTGGAAATGGTTCATTCAGCCCAAGATTCCCCTGTTTTCTATTCGTGCAGTCAGTTACACTGGGTCAAACAGTGGAAGTGTAATAGTAGAAAACGATTGAGTGGAAGAGAGACATTTTCAGGGAGACAGTTGCTTCTGATCAAAGAGAATCCAGATTTGTGCTCACTGGAGCAAGAATGAACAAAAACTGCAATCAGTAAGCCTCACAGAATTTCTGGATACTGTAAAGTACCATTTTCTTAAACACTAATTAGAGGAAAGAAAAGGAAGGCACATTAATGAATGGATAGACCTGCAGGTTTATCTGCCTGTTAAGAAGCAGACAGAACACAAGAAGGCAGGGTCTTTTGGTATTTGCATGGAAGATGTCCAAGTAAATAAATTCAAAAAAGAAAAAATATTAACCCATCGACAGCATACCAGTTTGCTAATACTAAAGGAGGTTACCTTAACTGCAGTCCTGAACTACTGCATCAGTATGGCACTGATGGGATCTGAATCAATGCCCCCATCCCTTGATCTTATGTCCTTTCTGCTAGGTACGAAATACAGATGTCTGCTTTGCTCATCTAAAGCACCTCACAGCTTCACCCAACACAGTGTTGTTATCTTCTTGTCTTCAGTTATATGTCAAATAAGAATGATGCGTGCGCAAGCTCTTCTAAATCTTTCTCCTGAAAATAACCCACTAGATTATGTCCTTGCCCTTCTTTCACCCTCATGATGCTGACTGAGCTACCTGCAGAGTGTTGATGAGAGCTGCCCTTTTCCTTTTGGCTTTCCAGAAATTCACCTTGTGCAAAGTTTGCATGTAAAGCCTGCTCTGGTGGACAGGCATCACTGCTGCGCTGCGTGGGACTCCCAGTACCCGGGTTACAGCTCATCACATGATGCTCTCGTTCAGGCTGTCTAGACTAAATCATGGTTGTGAGTGGGCAATGCTGATGCCTGAATTTTCAGCCCACGAGAGAAATGCCTGTCCCCGGTGAATTGCTCAATAGGCAGGATGAAAAAGATGCCAAGTTCCTGTGCTCATTCCTTCCGGCAGAGAACGGAGGAGGGAAAAGCAAGCTGCTCTTGGGCAAGAGCCCTTTTCACTTTTCTTCAGACTCCTCTCTTGTGCCCTTTGCTGTTTGACTGACATGGAGAAGCTTGTGCACTTCATCTTCTTGGTCTTCTTGTCAGGTAAGAAAGTGTACGTGGCCTGGGGTTTTGGTTAACAGATAGGGCAAAGGATGGCTGCAGAATTTAGGCTCTACTTGTACCGTGTATAAGATTAATGATAAAGCTATGGGAAAAGACTGCACAGGTCTTGAAACACAGTAGCTTTTTCCTGGATGCAAAGGCATCTTTGTTGTAGCATGCAGTTCTTTGGAAGACCAATACAAACACTTACTGTGGGTAAAGTGTTCTGCCTGTCTGTATGCTGCAAGGTCCAATGCAATGCAAAGCAGAGGGAACCTGGGCGAGTGGTGATCCAAGTGCTCAGCTTTTCTTGTAGGGATCCTTTTGAGTCAGAACAGGAAATGCTGTTGACAGAAGTCTTGTGTGCCTTCTCATAATGAAATGTGAAATTGCAAAATCGTATATGTTTGCATTTGTAGGGCTTCAAATGTAAATTGCAGCCACTAGGGTTCGAGAGGAGGAAAATAAAAGTCAGTGAAGGGGGCATCTCTGAAATCTTGGGCACTTGACTATTTTTGGTTTGGAAAGCAGTGTGCATCTGAAATGAGGCACAGGACCCAGATGGCAGCCTTCTCTCTCCAACCACACTTTGGACATCGCAGATATTTGCAGCAGTGCACAGAAAGGCAACAGATTCAGGCTTTGAGAGCACAGAAACCTGTCTCAAAAAAATTGAACGAGTTTGGAAAAAAATCCACTATACTTTTTTCAGTAGCACACAACAAAGGAGGAGGAACACAAACAGCAAATGATCTGTCAGCAGAACTGATTGAAAAGATAATGACACAAAGTTTTCCATAGGGGCATCAGCAAATCTTTAAATGCCATGATTCTGATGAATAGATTTTTTGCAATGCTGTTTCTATTTAAAACAAAACCAAAAAAAAAACAAAATGCTGAGGCCTTTCCAGTAGCTGAAGGAGCAGAACTAGAGGCAAGGAGGGGTCCAGAAGACAAATAAGAGAGGGAATTAAAATGTTCAGAGGGATTGCACAGGACTGGACTGGACATGAAGTGAGGTAAGCCTTGACTGGAACAACCGAGTGGAGCAAAATATTAGGATAAAGACTTGTAGGTGTTGGATACTTGGAGACCACAGATCCATTTTTATGCCTTTTTTCTATTCAATCCTGAAATATCTTCAGATTTTTTAGTTTACAATTCACTTAGAATGGTTTAAATTATTTTAAGAAATGTTATTAAAAGGCTCAGCCAGAACAAAGTCCTTCCAAGAGCACATTTTTAAATTTACTTCTGTTTTATCATTGCTTACGATTTCACAGAAGGCACTAGCCTCTGAATTTTGTCACTAGAAATACAGAGATTTCCACAAATACCACACTGTGCTTCTCTCTGAAAGTATTAATAGCTCAGACTGGTCCCTCTTCCTTTCCCTACCATAAAGAGGAATGGAAATTAGAAATAAGGAACTAAGGAAAAAAAAAAAAAAAAAGTCAAGCAGCCAGAGACCACTTGTCAACATGATTAAAATTAGCAGGATATTAAAAGACAGGGTGAAAAAACTTGCTAAAATCCTGGATTTAGAAATTAGGAGTGGGATTAAGAAGTAACCTCCTAAACAGCTAGCGGGACACTGCTTTGTAGGTGTCACTGTGATTCTAGGGAGGATTTGGAGGGATTAATTTTTCAGGGCTGTGTTGCTTCTCTCTCACTGTGTACAGAGCCTTAAAATGGGGATAAACTTAATGCACATTTACTGCAAAGGATTGTTTCTGCAGTGGAGGGTACTCCAGAGCCAAATTTGCATCTACGAACATATGTGGAAGGGCTGAACTCAAGACCAAAACCTAAAGCAAGCTGCCTTGATGCAGCTGTATGCAAGTAAGCAGGCTGGACATTGCAAAGCAGGGGTGTTACAGCAAGACTAGCCCAAGGAGAGTTACACAGAAGCAATTTGTCATTATTGGGTCAAGTTATGTTTTTATGAGCTGCCTTGTAAAAAGAGCTTTTGAAAATCAAGACAGCTTGCCTGATGCCAACTCAACCTACCTGAAGGCCCAGCTTCATGCTCCTCGGGACCAGAGGAAAATGCAAGTTTATATTTAATCGCCTAATCATGCTGATAAATTGCTTCCCCTTACTGGGCAGGAGCCCAATGATTACAGAAAGTGCTGTGATTGAGCTCCAGACTGCAAACCAGAGCAGTCACCACAGGGCCAGAAGCGAAGGCAAGGACCAAAATTTCCCAAGCTTCAGAAAATCTGCAAATATTAACGAAGCTGATACCTCCTCCTTCCCTCAGTCCCCCCCACATAGCTGCCTGGCAAGAGCCAAATAACACATCAGTCAGAGGGATGACTACAGACATATTTCAAGAAAGTCTGAACTGAGGCTCTGAATCTGAGCACACTGTATCTTTCATGGGGGAAGCAGACAGGTGACAGCCCTACAGTTGACAACAGCCATCACTAGAGTTGTAAAAGATGGAAATGATGTTTAGCATAAACATAGTGGTAAGGGATAGATATGAAAGAGACTTGGCTCATCGCTTCTTCCTTCTCTCTTAGCACCCTGTGCTGCAGAGAACGTCACTGTGGTGTACGGAGTGGAAGGGGGCACCATTTCTGTCAACTGCACCTATAACCCCTGGCAGCAGCGGTGGAGAGAGAAGAGCTGGTGCAAGCAGATCGACAAGACCACGTGCCAACATGTGGTGAGCGCCCGACGCTTCTGGCTGCCATTCCTAAAGAACAGGAATGGCACCACCTCCATCAGTGACAATGTCCGTGAAGGGGTCCTGACAGTGACCATGAAGCGACTCAAGAAGCAGGATGCTGGGTTGTACCAGTGCAGAACTGACTACCTGGGGGAAACAAGCAGTTTAAGGAAGGTGCAAGTAGAAGTGCTGACAGGTACGTCCTGGGGCTCTGAGTTTCATGAGTTCCTGAGTTCCTACTTAAATTTCATGCGTGTCTCCAGATGCCAAGGCCTCACTTTAGTAAACATCTACTTTTGTCTTGCTCTAAGGAGGTACTGTGTTTCATTGCCTCTTTTTAGTTCCTGATTTACAGCAACATGACCTCACTGTTACAGGACATCAAACACATGTCATCCCCTTATTGCTACACAGATTAATCTTCTAGCACACAGCACAGTGCTCAATTTCACCTTGGTTATATCTATGCCTAGCTGGGGCACTGGTGCTGGGGAGACCAATGAATATCACCCAGAAACATCTGCAGACTAAACTGTTCTGTTTATATCATCAGCTGTCCTGGAGACCCAAACGCCGGAGGAGCCTAGTGCTGTGCAGAGCGTCTCCAGGTAAGCCATAAAACTGCTCATGCTGTGATCTCCAGTGTTCCTAGTACTAAGGCAGGTTAGCATCGGCAACCCCATTTGAAGCTGAGGAATACTGCCACAGGCATATTCTCTACCGCTTCCTAATCTATGACAATTCCTAGAGCTGCTGTGTAGTTTCTAAACAGCAGCTTTATCCAAATCCAGAAAATGCAGTGCTTCAGTGCCAAGCAAAACAACTCCTGCAGATGATAATTTATCCCTATGTGAGATAACATATTACAGTTGTTCTAACCTCCCAAGCTCTGTTGTGCACAGGCAGGGACTGCCTGTTGCAGGAGATCTTACCACCTTGACATTGTGTACTACAACAGTTTCTCTGAAGGTTGAGCCATCCTCTTCATTGTCGTATTTATGGTTCCCCATAGCATCCCTCCTGAAGCCGATTTCACTGTCTCCTATATCATTGCTGGATTCCTGGTTATTAAGTTCGTGGTGGCTGTGCTGATCTTTATCATTGGCAACAGTAGGAAGAACAGAGAAACAGAGCAGAAGAACCAAAGCTTGAATGAGCAGCTGGTCCTCCCTTTCACTGGCAACCTTGCACATGATGGGATCAGCCCCCCCTGGGAGAGCACGGCTTAGAGTCAAACCAAAGGGAATCCACAGAGAAATCAAGCATTTGCAGTCAAAGCTTTTCCACCTGCCATAAGAAAAGGATTGCCTGCTAAACACAGGTATCGGTGAACCTATCACTCTAGAGAGGGAATGCCACTATCTGCCACCTCTTCTCATTGGCGCTGACCAACTTCTTCCAACACAAATGAACTGAAAAGATGCTGTCGGTAACACACCTAATGGAAGAGGATGGCATCAAGGGCTCAAGGGAAAGGAAGAATATGAAGTCTTTCTGTCAAGAGAATCAGCACAGACTTATCTATGTGCAGAGATGCTTCCCCAGGGATGGTAAAGGTGAGAGAGCTCTACTCAGTTTGCCCCCAGCTCATTGCTAGGCCAGAAAACACTTTTCTGCTCTATACAGATACTGGCAAACGCTTTGTTAGAAGTAAAACAACAGATACACCAGTGAACATAAACAAAAGTTCAGGTAATACATCTCAACGACCATGAGTTGAGTAACTCACAAACACATCCACATCATGTAAAAATGGAAAGACATGGATGTCTCTCAAATCTCCAAGAAACTTCTCCTGATTTATTGAAGACCAGTGTTAAAGAACTAATATTTTTTTTCAAGGTGTCCATGTCTCTACAAAACACTTAAATACTTCCCCAAAAAGCATGAACTAGATGGTTTGTATTGAAAGCTAATATTATTATTTGTCTATAAATCAGCTTTGTAACAGATTCTACTCTCTAAAGATTGAAGCTTTTGACACACTTTTGGCAAGGCAATGCTCTGCTATCATCACTGCCAGTAGCTGCACCACACCACCAAGCAGAGTTATTTCAGATACTCATCCCTGGTATCATTTCACCAGGGTCTGAACTGAGACTCATCAACTTCATGTCATCTCAGAGCAATGCCAGGTGAGAGATTCTGTCTTTCCAAGGTGTTGAAGACTAGCTCTCAAAAATTGCCTTGGACGGTATGGATCCTTGGTAAACAGGCACTGTGGAAAGCCATAAGGAACTTGAGAACGTAACAGAAAGGGATATGGAGCCTACATGCAGCTCTAAACCCACTTCCTCATTTCTCAATTGTGAACAAAGGATGAACTGCCTCTGTATTTCTCCCTGTATTTTTGATACCCTCCCAAGGGGATGCTACCAACATGTGATCATTGTTCATCACTCCCCAAAGTGAAGCTGAATTTAGCTCTCCCAGAAGAGCCCAAACCCAAGGACATTCGCACTTCCCTGCACTGCCTGCAAAGCTAAATAAAATCCAACTGGTTATCTGACTTAGTGTGCATTCATAATAAAGAGCTGCAGTACACCAGATCACAACACATCACCCAAAGAAGAGATAATTCTTAGAACATGCTGATGTGTTTATAATGTACAGAAATGCTCTGAGCCAGCTGGGCAGGTTGGCACATCCAGCCAGCTCCATTTACCATCATGCAGAAACAGCAGCTCTGAACCCAAAACCACATCAAGCTCCGGTTGTGCTCTGTGTAAACTAATTTCCTCTATTTCCAGAGGGTGAATTAGCCCATACACAGTCACACACCACTGCAGCTGTACTAACACAAACATAGCTTCAGTATTTCCGGATGGTACTGTGGTGTCCAGCCAGATGTGCTATAAAACGAGGGAATCGTAGCTCTAACCAGGAGATCTGGGTCCTAGTTCCAGCTGCAACCTGTCAAGAGACCTCAGGCAGGGCCACCCACCAGCCTCTGTGATGGCACAGAGATGGTTCTCTACCACTGTATAAGGGCTTTGGGAATGAGGGATATAAAACTTGCATGTAAGTACAAAGCAGTAGTAAGACTGAACACATCCAACTGAAAGCTGCTCTGTAGTATATCAAGGTAGCCCTAGAGACCAAAAATGCCTATTTCTTTTCCAGCCGCACAGCCTGATTGCTAAATATGGCTATCTAGACAACAACATATTTAAAGTGAAAAAGCAGCCAGTAAACATTATGCAGCTTTCTCAATCAAGAATTAATATTAAGATTGTGATTAAAAGATATTCTCAGCAATTCCAAACTAGCATCATCACTCTAGGTAGCAGATGACTGCAAATGACAGAGCAAGTTAGCTTCCTCTGCAACAGAGAATTTCTTGGTGAGAAAGAAGCTCTGGGATACATTTTTTTCCTCTATGCCCTAAAACACTTTCTGCTTCAGGATGGAGGTTTTCCAGCCCTGCTGCTCTTGCTAGCACTACCAGGTAAGGGGCGGAGATTCTTCATTTCTCCTCAGAACAGGATGCTCTCTGTGCTGTTGCAGGCACTGCACACTGTTACTTGCTTGAGGACTTTTTATTCAGGCCATTTATAGCCAGGCACAGAATAAGGTTCCCAGAAGTCAATAAGGGGAGGAAACATTCAGCTTGAAATTTGCTTATTTTAATCATACAGGCTTTTGGGTTCCCATTTTTGTTTATAGTAGTTCTGTAATGTGACCAGAAACTGAACTTCATGGTGGGACACTTGGAAATCTTCACCCTTCTGAGACCTTTCTCTCCCACTATTGTGAAGTTCTCAGCCTGAGATCACCTAGCATATGGGGGAGGAAAATCTGTGCTTGTTGCTTTTTCCTGATATGGCATGGATCAGGTATTGTCATAGACAGGCTAGCTGGTTTTTGCTTTCTTATTGCAAATAAATACTGACTCCAGAGAGAGAAACAATAGGAATAAAAATGGAAAAGGGGTGATCTAAGGCTAAGCATTGATTTTTATTTAGGCAAACCTGCAGAATTAAATTACTCTTCTCAGAGGGCCAACGTGAGAGTCCCAGTGCTACAATATAAGAAAAACTGGCATACCAAGCTGTGACTAGTTGCAGCATCATTTTCTTCTGTCTTTGGAAGAATCATGCCTGGCAGGAGAGGACATGTAAGTGATTCTGTATACGGAGGGAGAGTCCTCCAGGGCTAACTGCTCATATGATGTGCATAGGAATTTATATGAGAAGAAATTCTGGTGCAAGGAGCTGTCAGAAAAGTCTTGTCCAGTCTTAGCCTTGAGTTCCCCTTTAAAAGAAAGGATTAACCCTAAACATGCTCTGCATCCTTCAGTTGACCTTACAGACTTTGAATGTGACTGGTTTTCTGTGATTATGACAGCACTTCGAAGAGAGAATTCTGGCACATATCAGTGTGGGGTGATCTGAAGAATATTCTGCTGCAAAGAATACAGATGGTGGTTTTACTTGAGGGTGAGCTATGAGGTCAACAGTGTACTGGGTGGGAGACAGCCAAAATAAATCAAAAATGATGTGTCATCTTCATTTTTGTTTCACAGCAAAAGCTGGTGTATCTAGACATAGAGATTCCATTAGAGGTTATCAAGACAGGGTAAAACTCTATTATATAATTCAGCACAGAACCACAATATGTACCTGTATGTATCTAGAGGCAGAAGTGGCCAGGAAATTATTTTTGCCATATGAAATAAAAATGTTTCAAAGAAAAAAATAATATAATAATCAATATTTTATGGATTACCATCAAAAACAATGAATACAATTTTGTAAGATTGTATTAATCAAAATGAAATGTGTTTGGGACAGAAATATTTCAAGTAAGTTAATGAAAACATGAAAACCATACTTGCTTTTGCACAAAATTTTCCATTCTGTTAGAAGTGTTTTACAGTCACAGAAATCTTTCACACAGAAAAGCTTTGATAACTTGTGTAGAAAATTTGTGAGATGGAGCTTCAACTTGAACATGTAGATGAGGCATAAGAAATATGCTGAGGCGGCTCCATGTCACAGCACCTGGGGAATTTGACAGCAGTAACAGCCCTGGAACCTGACACAGCCCATGTTCAGCAAGGGCAGCAGTAATCCCAATTTCCCCTTTGTCACCCCAGCTTCACCTCTAGTTATCACCCTCCTCAGAGTGGGGCTGGTTATTTCCTTGTCTTCTGCAAGTTCTCTTTCTGCTGATGTTAGCTCTGCTCCATTGTTGGGTGAGATGTACATCACAGTGGGGATTGCTTTTTCCTGTCTTCTCCCTCTAGTGAATCACCACTCTCTTTTCTTTAGACCTTATAAAGCTATTTACCAAAAAAAAGGGAACCCCTTGTCCCTCCATTGCTTGTATTCTCTGATAGCAAACATCAGGAAACTTCAACATTTTATTTGGTGCAAAATGGTGTCCCAAATTAGATGTCAACCTATTATCAGAGGTAACTCTGATCAAAGTATTGTTAAAGTAGGAAAGACTGAAATGATGAATGACTTCTCATGGAAAATTATTAGAATGTGGCTGAAAAAGCTCCAGTTTAATGACTCAGGAGAATATCATCTTGAAAGCCATTTCCAGGGGAGAAACAAACTACTGAATAGGATCATGCTGGAAGTTTTGGGTGAGTTAATCAAAAAATTAATGATCTTCTAAAAGTCAGCAATTTCTTACCACTTGACAAGAAAGATTACAGGTCAATGCTAAAGAGCTCTCTTCTAAGCCTAGAAATTTCCTGAGACACATATAATTCCTGAATTTCTTTTTTTAAAACAGATTTTTAATACATACTAATGGTATAAACAAATTGCACCTAACTAGTGGGGGAAGTCTGGCTTGGCTTCGTTGACTAATTAAATTTTACATTTACATCAGCAGATGAAACAGACTCCAAGCAATCTGAATCTTTGCCTGAATTTCTGTCTGAGTTCATCTCTTTGCCATTAGTAAACTTCTGTATTTGTTTTAACACCTTACTTCCTTTCCTGCTTTTAGCCAGCATGGGAGGCAGAAAACCAGAAGATATTTAGTGGAAGCTATTCTTTGATTTTTCTGACGTGACTGAAAAATGTGTATAGGAATCACATGATACATCTTTTTTCTAAGATGCTTCCTTTCTAACAGCAAGTGCCCAAATAAGCAATTCAGTTTTCATATCATTCTCTAAAACAGTATGAATTTTAATGACTGACTTTTACCTTCTACAAAACTTGTCTCCTGCAGGAGCTGTCCTTTCCCTTTGATCTGTCACAGGACCCAAACTTGTAAGTAATGCAGACACTAAATCTCCTATGTCCCTCTGCACATGGTATAATCACTGATTAAGTAGGTTTTCCAAGGCATCATGCAATCAAGTAACAAAGATTCTGCAAGAACAAAAGAAACACCAGAGGACCACAACCCAAAGAGAAGAAAACTGGAATCACAGTATGTCTCTTCTTGTCCTACTAGCTGCTTACTACTACCACTCTGGCAGGGCCTACACTTGCTGTTTTCATTTAGATACACTGATAACAGGTAGTATCCAACAACCCAAAGAAAACTCCCAGCTTTTACCTGAAGAACTGGTTGATCCCATTCCTGTGATTCAGCTGCATTAACTAACCTTCTTTTACGGGTAAATAGCACAGGATGAATTTTCTTGTGCAACTTCACAATTTCATAGCTAAGCAAGCAACAACTGGACCATTCTACAAACCTGCATAGCAGGATTTTTTAGCATGAGAAAAATTCACCAGGGATGGATTGATGTGGGAAAATCACTCGCTCTTTGTTTTTTCTCAAGTGGAAAACTGGAATCAGGATGTGGATTTAGACACCATTTCATTTCCCACTAAGAAGGTGGATATTTCTAACCCCACAGATGACAGCAATAAGGATCGCAGGTAAAAAACAAAGACTCCCGGACTCCAGGTATAGCATTCTGGATGCACTGCAGGATTTGAGGAGTGGTGTGACAAACAACAGAACCATGTGCATGCACACACATGCACACACAAAGAGGCTTCCCTTTCTCACCTATAGAGTTTGGTCCAACCTCCCCACGTCTCACGAAAAGCTGTAGAAGGTTCATATCAGTTTCAGGAGCACTAAGTGAAGCTTCAGCTGAAGATGCTCAGTTTGACTGTGTTCTTACTTTCTACCTGATTAAAAAAGGGACAACTATATGGGCCATGCAGTGCTACGACTCTGCCTTTTGTACAAGCAGACCAGCCCTAGCTAAACATAGCATGTCAGACAAGAGTCATTACCAGGCCTGATCAAAGGTGACCCTGTTAACGATCCTGATCAAAGACAGACCATGGGAAGGGCTACTGCATCCTGATGAGGGATGCCTTTGAATTCTGGTAGCACTGCAAATGACTGCAGGAACAGAATTCAAGCTCCTGAATATTTCCCAGGCTTGCCAAGTGCCAAAGAAAATACAGCTGAGATGGATCTTCTGTGGCTTTAGATCAGTACTGACCACATGGAACCACACTTGTTTAGAGACAGCAGGGGTAATATTTGCATGCTGAATTTTTATCCTGGAACCATAATCCATTTTCAAACACACAAAATCCCCTCCCAAATTAACC